CTCTATACAGATCACTTAGATTAGATAATGAGCTTTAAGTTGGTTCCATCACCCATGCTTCATCCATCAAGCAAATGATGCAAGTCTGATTCCTTTCTTGCCTCATTTTCCATTAAAAACACTATATTATATATATGTTTATAGTCAAATGAGAGAGAATACTGGTTAGCGTGTCATTTGCTGATTAATTAGACCTAAACTATTGATGAACAAGATCATATGTAAGCATAGAGATTCTACCCACGTTCAAAAAATCTTTGCATTTTTCGACATTTTTTTTTTTGGGCTCTTGACTTGGTGGACGTTAACTTTGGCAATGTAGTTGAAAAGAAAAATGCTTACATTGGGTACCAATCCTAATCCACCAGACAAAAGTGAAGTAGGAAGAACCAATTGAATCATGTCATAGGAACAAATAGTACTAAAAAACTTTTGCAAAGTTAATATAAATGCCATGGTCCCCAAAACTCCCATTCCGAGGAAGAATTTGGTCTTAAAAGCTAAGGATTCTTTCTTGGTTGGGAGTTATCAAATCATGATTCTTGCCGGGTATTGTGGGTCAGGTTGCCTTTACATACAGAACATGGCAAAAAGTTTTGTGGGGTTGTTGTATCCATGTATTATAAGTCTATATATCCCTTAATTTCTGAAGACTTGTTTAGAATGTGAATGTGTATTGGATGGATCGCATAATTATTCGTTCATGTATGCAATACTCTTCAGATCAACATACATGCTAGCCGTACTCAAAAGTCTCTAACTTTTTGGGGTTGCAATTTTTTATCTACTACCGAAAAATGGTTTTTTTTTTCAACGACTTTTCATCGTGTTTCTCAGTTGGTTCTTTCGGGGAAAAAATAAGCAATTCTGTCACTATGTACAGTATATTATATTATGCCCATGTTTGTCATCCTTTAAAATTTTAAATTGTTTGCTACAGTACCATTCTCTACTGCATATTCACACAATAAAATATTCTACATACAAACCAATAAAATTTTATTATATTTTACCACACATTCTCTATCAATCTACTATTCTATAATACATTACGAGAAATTAATGGCTCTCAAGCATGGCCTATGTTTCAAATGTTCTTGACATTGTAAAACCCTAATTTTTGTTATTTTTACTTATTATTTTATGTTGATAAAATCAAATTATTCTTTCATTTATAAATCTATATATGCAATATATAAAACCCCTAAAACTTTTGATTCCATTTTTTAAGATTGCTTAAGAAAAATACAATAAAACGGACATATACGAAAACAAAATCTTTTGGGCACATTCAAAATCTTTTTGCCAGCTTGTACTTGTAGTTTCTTGTTTTGTCTTTTTAGTCATTGTTTGGCCCCCCATTTAGGAGAATTTATAAATTTCGGAACAATTTCGGAACAGTGATTGATGAGATGATGTGTGGTTGAAAAATAGTGAATTTTTTAAGGGACAACATTGCATGTAATGTTAGGTCTTCACATCCATTAAGTTAGGTATCATGATTATAATATATAATATTAATTAAATAATAAAATCCATGCTGTTTAGGGCATAAAATAATTTTTCGTGGATCCTTTTCAGCATTGTATATTTTTAATTGAGGGTTACCCTACACCAATTCAAGAAAATACAGTGCCCCTATGAAGTAGTATAGGGGCAAATGGGGTTGTGGGTTGTCCCTAAGAGGCTTCATCGGGACAATTAATTTGCTTTGGAATCACTTGTTTGGATTAATTGTTGAAATTTTAAATTAAGCATTTTGCAAACCTTTTTTTTTTTTTTTTTTTTTGCAAGGAAAAATTTAAGATTCCGTAGTGAAATTAGAAAATTTTATTTTTCGATTGGATTTACCGTTTATGGAACAACTAGTGAATTTTACTACATGTGTTTTCATCTTAACCACACGATATTATAATTTTGCAATCATATATCCTATAGAGATGCTAAACGTACCTATTAAATTTTTGCGGAAAAATGAATACATAAACATAAATAAGAAAGAAATTTTAACATGTTTATAACTATTTTCATTCTATAGTACTGCTTAATTAATATGAAAGGAAAATTTAATTTTAAATACAAAAAATGAAAAATAAAAAATTGAATTCTTTTACTTTATCTTTTCCCTTTTCCGCATACAACCTTAGCTCTTGTTTAATTTGGCTAAAAATCATTTTTCAGTAAAAATTGATAAAAACTGATGAAATGTGTAGTTGAAAAATTGATATAAGTTATGAATTCTATAAAATGCCTTGGTTGAAAATCAGTTTGAAAAAAATTAATTTTAAAAAATTGAGTCCAAACATGACTTTAATCTAATACAATAAAAAAAAAAAAAAAAAACATTTGCGAAGAAAATGATTCAGGCGCTGATACTGTCATGTCTAGAGGTGTAAAATTTGCTCCAGAGGTATAGGGCCAGCCCAACTTGAATTGGAGCACGTTGGGCCAAACCGTATGGATACATGGCCACATAGGCTGTGGGCACTAAACGTAGAAGCCGAACACTTTAAGCCAAAAAAAAAAAAGTGAAACCAAACCACCTCACAATCGAGCCATGCTAGTTCACGTCTAGAATGTTGAGTTACACAATGGTATAATTTTCCCCTCAACAAAAGGTAACTAAAAGAATTTCAAAATTAGTAAAAGTATTACATCAAAGAACATTATTCTGATATGCAAAGTGGTTTTCGAATATAACCACAATATGCCTTGTGCCAACATATAGATGATGATAATTACACGATGAGGGTAAACGGATCATTGTAATTGAAGAATATTCACAATGCACTTTATGAATTGCAATTTAAATGACGTTCTTCACATCAATTACAAGTTACAAATAATAGCATTTATAGTCCTCCATTCGTGAATCAAGAAATCTACTTTTTATTGAGTAATGTTATTTAAGAGAAGCGTCGTTCACTAAAACTGCGTTTTAGAGGCCAAGATGGAAGCACGTCTATCTGATTAGGGCAAATGTCTCTCTAAAAAACATGCTCTCTCTTTGGGTCTCTAGGATTTGAAATACATGTTTCTTTTAAAATATTTGATGCTACGTTTCAGACCTAGTGCTGATATAGATGAATGATAGTTGGACGTTCTTAGTTCTTGGTATTGTAGCGACGATTTATGATCGTACACTGTTTGGCTTTCGATCTCAATTATAGTAGAGATTAGTGTGTGGGCTTCCACACCTTAGCCCCCTAGATAAGGCCTTGGTTGAACGGGGTTGACATTTTTTGGTGCTCTTCAATGTTTTTCTTGTACGATTGTTTGCCTATTTTTGCATATTCCGAGCGCACAAACACTAATGAATGAAGCGTGATTTGAAAATTTAAAGGAAATAAATAGAATACATATTAATTATGACACAAACTACCACATATCATCAACTGAATGAATAATCCAATCACGTGTGTATATAAAAACATCAGGCTATTTTTTTTCTTCATAGAGGCTCTAAATCAAGCATTAGATTTGATAAGATTTCGTTCTTATCACTTGATTTTTAGTTCTTAATGTGCTTTTGATAATTTCTTTAGCTATACGTGATCAATATTTTACGAATTCACATTTGTCACATAAAGGATTAGATGTAGTCGTTGTAAATTGATTATTGCAAAAATTAAATGCAATTATTTTAAAATTACTATTTTTCGTAATTTACTTTATGAGTTTTTCGATTGCCGTCCCCTATCCTTTTCAATTCTATAGTTCTAACTACACTAGTTAAAAACCCCAAATTTAATAATCATCTGTTTCTGTGAGAGTATATTAATATCTTAAACATTAATACATTTAATAATGCGGAGCAAATTTCTGAAGAGATCACCTGACTTGCAAGTTAGTTTCATCTTAACCATACATCTTCCATTTATTTCAATTTAATCCCCAACTCATGCATTTGTTTCCATTTGACGATTTATTCTGTATGTCCCAGATTTTTCAGATAAAAATCATATATTTTTTTGTAAGTTTTATTAAATGTTGATGGAATCTATTGCAGAGAAGTGGTAGATCCATGTGAATCGTGTCAACATAATTAATTGTTGACTTTAACTGAATTTTTAATCAGATTTTTAACTAAACTAAACAAGGGCTAGACATGAAACTGAGTAACTTATACAACTTTAAAGGAGATCTCGAAACCAGAATTGTACGACTATTATCATTTATCAAATTTTCTTTTATGGCAAAAATGGCTAATTCAAAGTCAAAAGTAAAAAAAATGTACGGACATGTACTCTATCGATCATACGGGTCGACCCTCACGATTATTGAGAGAATGGTGAATTGAAACAAAGTATAGCTGGTTGATCAAAAGAGACAAATTGAAGTCAAGTGATTAGTATAAAATTGACGTTAGGTGAAAAATAAGCCAACATATAAGTTAAAAGAGTTTTGCTATGGCCTATGGATACATAGTAAAACACATAAAATTTCACATAATGGCCACATGGCCACCCACAATTGGGGGGGCGCCTCAGCCCACACATTTTATACCAAAAATGGGGCTCAAACAGGCCACTAAGCTGGCGCCCCCCCAATTGAGGGTGGCCATGTGGCCATTATGTGAAACTTTATGGGTAACATTATGTATTTTGAAATAATAGAATGATGGAGAATGTGGTTAAAAAAACGAGAAAATATTTTAAATTTTCGTATAATATTATTTTATTGAAAAATGTGTTATTAAAACGAGTCGAGAAAAATGGATTTCGCAAATGAGGGAAATTAACGGCAATATGTCCCAATTAGTGGTAAAGCTGTAATATCATCTATCCAGAAGGGCATTTTCATAATGATCCACTGCCACATTATTTCTCTAACTTCACCTTCTTCGCTTTTGGCTACTTCTCCTAGTAGCCACCGCATCAAATTCTATAGCATTAGCGCACGCACACAAATGCAAAAAAATTGACATAAAAAATGTTGTTTTTTTACATAATTTCTGTTAATTTTACATAAGAACGTGGATTTTTCAATTATTCGAAAAAATGGCTTTAACAAGAACCAAGATCAGCAAACTGTTGATTACTCCTACTTTCTCCAAAATGCCGAGTTTTGCATTTGCATGTGGATCCGAAAAATGTTTCCGGGTCGATCCTTTTAGGAATTTTGGATCATCTTCGTTTTCCTCGACCACGGCTGCGACGGCTGTTGTTCCCGAGGAAAACGAGTCTAAATTATTCGGGTTGGTGAAGGAATATGAAGATTATCGGAGGAATCTGTATGGCGGCTTGACCCATAAAGCCCTTCTTGTTGATGCAGTGGGCACTCTCGTTGTTCCTTCCCAGCCTATGGCCCAGGTTCTCTGCTTCTTCAACACACACAATTTTCTATTTGGATTATATTATTTCTTTCTATAGCAATTATAAGCTATTAATTAAGGTTTTTTTTGTTGATTTATTACTATTTGAACCGACTTTCTTTTTCTTTTTTATCTGTAGATATTTATATGTTACATTCTCATGCACATATACATGGAAAAAATTAGCCTTTTAAATGCCAGAGTCAATGCCCAAATTTTATTTTTTGATGCAACATGACCGAATTTTTAATTCTTTTAACTGTTTAGATTCTTGGTTATTTGGTGGTTCATGCTCAATATTTTCTTATGTGTGTGTCTATGTGTACTACATAAGTGTAAAATTGGAAGAAATTGGTAACATCTAGGTTTCAAGATTTGAACCCTAAATTTTCGTTTTTGGTTCCTTTTTTTTTTTTTGATACAGAACACAACTTTAAATTTCACTCGCTTCTTGATCATTTGAATTTTTAAAAACAACTGGATTGGGATTTTTTAGATGATGTTTTCACTTTTTCTTTTCCCTTTTTTTCAACTATTCCAAAGGTCTTCCCTTTTTAGGATGGAAGTGGGGTGGCCGCATTGTTTCCCCTTTCTTGAACTATTCAAAGGATCTTCCTTTATCTTTTCCTTTTTTGGGTTGTTTTGGGGGTGGTGGTTGATTATCTTTCTAATAATATGGAAAATTATTTCTTTGGATGTTGCTTTAAATTTAATCCTTCATTATGCTGAGAATCATTATGTTTGTTTCTTCTTTTTGTTCCATGCATGTTTATTTGCTGTTTTATGTAAAATCTCTTACATTTCGGATACAAAACCAAAAAAGACACGTGTAAACATAACATCTCCCACGCTCTATGCCGATTTATCTGCTGGCCGTTGCTTTTCTTACGTCTCCATAGTTTCCTTTTCATTAGGAAACAATCTGAGTGTTCCATGCATTTAAATTTCGGTTCTGTTGAATTATTCGACTTCTTATATACATTGTCTCTGTTGGAGCTCAAGGAGTTTTCTCATGCTTGCTTATTCTTTTGATGTAGATTTATCAGCAAATTGGTGAAAAATATGGAGTTGAGTATTCTGAAGACGACATATTGAATAGATACAGAAGGGCTTACGAGCAGCCTTGGGGTCGATCTCGCCTCAGGTGAATATTTTGTTTGTTGTTCTTTATATGGCTGCTTGTGCTCATTCAAGTTAGATGAAACAAACATTGATTGATTAAGGTGTTTCAGAAAACAGCCGTTAGTCAGATTTTGTTTCGATCTTATTTTTGTTATCTAAATTCTGAAGTCAACTTGTTTCCACTTCAGCCTCAATGCTTGTTACGCATTTCTTTGAAGTCAAAGTTGATCTTATTATATTAACTATATGTGAAACTAATAGCGTGCAATTTTTAGATTATTGTGAAATAATCAATATTCTTCTGATGCCATTTGCCTGGTAGGTTAGACATGCGCGTGAGAGAGGTTCCTATTAGGTCTTTATCTGTGTTCTTATTTCATTTTTCTTTGTTGGGGAAGTCAAATGGAGGTGCAAGGGACTGGCTTATTCAATCAGCAAAATTGATTTTTTACATTTATGTCTAATATATGCCTTTTTAATATGATTAAAACAAAACATTCCATTTTATTACCCGATTCAGGAAAATCCAGAGAAAATGTATGATACATTTTATTCTTTATACACAATGTGATTGTACTTGCATAAATGTTTTCACATAATTCATATTACATTATACTGCTTTTGAAAGGATCAATGAAGTTTATTACATATTTGTTGATATTGTAGCATTCTTCGTGCTTTAAACTTTCTGTTATAAAATTTTTGACCGTCTTAGTTTATGTCACCTTGCATGATTAACTTGTACAGTTGCTATCGTTTAGCCGTTACCATAATCAAATACCCAATCTCATGATTTAACAAAATCCTGTATGAAACTGCATTAACTGCTATGTTATTTCTCTTTCTCAAGCTCGTACATTTGCATCAGGCCAATTCGTTTCAGCTAAACAATCGATGCCTTCTATATAGAATTTCTTAGCAAGATGTGTATAATTGCAATACATCTTATTAATGTTGGTACTTGTACTTGATCTTGTTACAATGTCGATAATATAGTTTTTTCTTGGCCATGATTGTTAATGGTAATTTTCAAGTAGAACTAGCAATGAACCAAATGGAATGGCAAAAAAATATCAAGTAGCCGACTTAAATTTAATGGAACAAGATTTAGTTGCTGTCTTTGTTGGCATTATTATTTATTAGTATTTATGTTATAGCATTACTGCGGATACAATACAACTTATCAAATTGCAGATATGTTAATGATGGGAGACCATTCTGGCAATATATTGTCAGTTCTTCAACTGGTTGTTCGGATTCTCAGTACTTTGAGGAGCTGTATAACTACTATACAACTGAAAAGGTAAGTTTAGTTGGTTTTCACTTTTTTAAAGGTAGCCAAAGGCGGCACTTCTTATTCTTCCCAATCCGTTTTGTTGACTTCTTATTAGTTTCTTCAAAAACTAAGGGATTGTTCTCTTTGTGCTTCAGTTTTTAGTTTAGAATTTTGAATTCATTTTGAGTTTTGCGTTTTAAGTGTCTATTTTGAGATTGCTGAAAACATGTTCTTTTTGTCATTTTGAAAAATTGTTTTCAAAAATAAAAAATGAAGTTTTGACTTGATTTTAACTGAAAACAACAAAAATGACTTTTTTGGCGTTTTCCGTTTTCTTTGTAAATGTTAAACTCGTTTTTGGAAATTCGTTTATGAAAATAGGCATGGTTTCAAAAGACTGTAGTGAGGCTCGCCTTGAGGCGCTCCTCACTGTGAGGTGCATGTAGTATGCCTCAGGATGATATTTTTTAGGCTAAAAATATGAGGCTCACGCCTCCAAATCAGTCTTTTGTAGAAATTGAGAATACCGAAGAGAAAGATGATGGGAAAATTAAATATGACGATGATTCCATTAACGATGTTAGTAATAGTGATGATAGTGCAGACTATTAGGCTTTTTTTTTAGTTTAAGCAGCTTCTTTTTTCCATTGTAAATAGAGTGATTTCTAACTTTTGTAATACTTTTTTTTTGTTAAATATCTTCTTTCTTTAGGTGGACTATATCTTAATATGCTAATGGCTATATATCATATTTACTATATGCTCCAACTTTGATTTTTTTTTTTGGTATTATTTTATAATTCTTCTTTTTTTTGTGAGGCTTACCTTAGTACTTAATTTCGTCTTTTTAAACCTTGAAAATAGGTAAGTAAATGTGTTTTCAGTATTTTCGAAAATTGAAAGCTAAAAATGGTCTGAAAACAGTAAAGAGAACAGGCCCTAAGTTATCTGGAAATGATAAGCAGACCTCACCTTTCGTGAGTTCTTTACTGTGGCCATTTTAGTTCACGTATTTACATATTAAGCATGTTGAGATACAAAAGGTACACGTTACATCAAGCAATATCAGACTATATCTCAATATGCTAATAGCTATATGTCCTATTTACTATATGCTGCAACTTTTTTTTTTTTGGTATTATTTTATAATTCTTTTTTTTTTTGTGAGGCTTACCTTAGTACTTAATTTCGTCTTTTTAAACCTTGAAAATAGGTAAGTAAATGTGTTTTCAGTATTTTCGAAAATTGAAAACTAAAAATGGTCTGAAAACAGCAAAGAGAACAGGCCCTAAGTTATCTGGAAATGATAAGCAGACCTCACCTTTCGTGAGTTCTTTACTCTGGCCATTTTAGTTCACGTATTTACATATTAAGCACGTTGAGATACAAACGGTACACGTTACATCAAGCAATATCCAATTTGTTTGGATATGTAACTTTTATTTCTTACTTTTATCCGGAAGTTACTTATTTTGAAAATAACTCTTACCTTACTATCAAAACAAGTAATTTACTTATTTCAACTTTAAGCAATAAAAGAATTATTTATTTCTAAACTTATTTATTTGTAGGTAAACACTTAAGCATAGCTGGACATGTTCATTATCTTACACTTAATCCATTGCTTGTTTCTTCGACAGGCATGGCACCTTTGTGATCCAGATGCTGGGAAAGTATTTGAGGCCCTTAGGAAAGCAGGTGTAAAAGTGGCTGTTGTTTCAAACTTCGATACGCGATTAAGGCCCTTGTTGAGAACTCTGAAGTGTGATCACTGGTTTGATGCAATGGCAGTGTCGGCTGAAGTAAGTTCGATGTTTGTTTTCTTTTCTTTTTTTAAACCAACTTTGCTCTGTATCTCTTTATACTTATTTATGATATCCATTCATATTTAACGCAGGTCGAAGCAGAGAAGCCAAATCCGACAATATTTTTGAAAGCTTGCGAGTTACTAGGAGTAGAACCTGAGGATGCTGTACATGTTGGGGATGATCGGAGAAATGATGTCTGGGGTGCCAGAGATGCAGGCTGTGATGCTTGGCTTTGGGGAAGTGATGTTAACTGCTTCAAAGAGGTAATAATGAATTTTGTGAAGACTATCTACACCATTCCTGTGTCTGTCTCTTAAATGCAGATTAGTATATGGCTAATAGTCAAACAATGAAATAAATTAGGATGATTTATCTACATTGCATTGTTCCACCCGCAAGTACTTTCTTAGTTGGACAATTTAGCCTCCGGTTTGGCAAATTTATAAATGGTTTATAAAAAGAAATAATAGTGAATCCCACAAAATGTGTGGATAATAATGACTAGTTGTTATAAAAGTGTGAAATTAAGTTTTACTCTGACTGAATTTATGAACCACTTATAAAGTTGTATCCAGACAGAGGCTTAATAGAGGTTCTTATAGCACCTAGTTTGGGACACTTCACCAATATAACTTGTGGAGCAAAGGGGATACAACTAACGAAATAAGCTCCTGTTTGACAACTATACTTTTCAAACATTTTCTTCTCCGTACTCATTTTCAACCACACATTCACTTAATAAAATATTATGCACGTATACCCAAAACTTTTCCTACTTCTCCTAAAAATCACTATTCAAAAATATATTTTTTTCAAAAGTATGGTTGTCAAACAGGGGCTAAGTAGCTTAACTTTGGTCACTTGTAGTTGAGTTGACTATATAGTCCCTTGAATTTTGATTGTGATTTCCACTTGTGGAAATCTTTCTAGGACAAAATGTTCATAAGATGAATGTAGCATAAATGAGAACATGTGGCCATACTAGAATGGATAAGATTAGTATGAAAATATCTTTTTCAACTTCCCACTAGGTGGGCAAAATGTTTTGGATTAGATCAATCTATTTGAGCCTTTTCATCAAGATATTAAAATGTTGCTAATAGGGCACTTTCATAAACTAGAATCATATGTGTGCAATTTCAATGAAATTGCACAGACGATGTGGCAATGTCTGGATAAGATATTAAAAAGTTGCTGATAGGGCGCTTTCCTCATTCTGTTATTGTAGGAACTCTAGATTGAGAGAATGACTGGAGTAGCAGTCTTATTGTTATTGATAGATATAAGAATCATGGTATCACCGCCTCTCAGGCCCCCCGACTAATTCTACCAATTTCTCGAAGTAAAGCTCTTTGCATCGCAATGCTTATTCCTTTTTTCGCCCCCATGTCGCCACAAGCTCAATCCGAAGGAAATTATGCGGAAGCTTTGTAGATAATCTCTTGTCAAGATGAATATTAACATTGAATGCTGAAATTACGCATTGAATTTCTGGTAGACGGTAGCGAATTTGAGGTGAAATTCTTTTCACCTCTTAACATCTATCTTTGTCTTTCTTTGAGATTTATCATAATGTAACCTTATGATTTAAGAGTAAATTTCTCTTCCTCTTTTTCCTCATTCTGTTCTTGTCACTTCCTCGACCATTTGTAGGGAACAAATTCCTCTATTCTTCGACTTTCTGTATTACTCTCTTACATTGAAGAATGCAATGCATGCTACTGAGATGGTCCTATAACAGTAATTTTTTT